TACTATAGGCTAGGGGTGCAGAGCATTTTAAGGTATATAAAGTAAAAATATGATATGATGATACACTCAGTGTATTTTCAAGCTGAAGTACTTTTCATTTATATGATGGAGTAATTAGGATATAAGCTGTTCTAAGTTGAAGAACATCTGTATATTTGAATAATTTATTTAGTTTTATTTTATATGAATTGATGTTTTTCCTCCAAGAATGTCTATATGAGGGAATCAGATTCCCTAGAGTACAGGAGTTACAGACAATTGCAAGCTGCCATGTGGTGCTAGGAATTGAACCCAGGTCCTCTGGAAGAGCAGCCAGTGCTCTTAAAGGCTGAGCCATCTCTCCAGCCCAACATATGTATATTTGGAATATAAACCTTAACAAAGAGTAATTTTTCTGGGTGGTTGGCTTGAATAAAGTATTTTATTTTAAACATTTTAAATTAAGTTTTACTGTCAACATCATCAAAAGATTCAAATCCCTTACAATATGGAATATATGTTAATACACAGTGAAGTAAAGCAGATACCAGTGAAATGTATCCCTCCAGCACTGCAGTCATGAACTAGACTGAAATCCCAAAATGCCACATGTGCCACATGTCACAATAATCAGAAACTCATGGTGTTCTAAGACTAGACAGTTGACTCCATGACTAACATTTTTAGATTATAAGAATTTATAACATTCTAACCAAAAAGGTACTGTGGATTAAGGACCACCTGAAGCTTCCAGAATCCAAGATAGAGCAGGTACTGGAAGGGCCTTATGTGAGAGGAACCCTACTGACACCTAAAAAGTAACAGCATGCTATGTCCAAGGACAGAAACAGGGGAAACTGGACACATAAGCCACACAACACCTGCACCCATGGGCTTATGACTCACTAGGGCTCTGCTTTGTTCTATTACAGTCTCCCATGGCTTCCCACATTTCAGCACATCTGATGTGAAAACATTAGGGTTTAATCTTCTCTTCATCCTTTCCCTTCCCCTTTCTTTCCTGCTTTCTTAAGACAGGACTCAACTATGTATTACAAGCTGGCCTACAACTCCCTATATATTTTAGGTTAGCCTTGAACTTGTGATCCTCCTGCTTCAGCTTCCCAAGTGCAGGATTTACAAGTGTAGGCCTACCTTGGACTTAATCATCTCTTCAGGCCTTCATTTCCTTATGAAGGTTCCCATGCTACATAAAATATGTATCGATTGCATTTGTAGGCTTGGGTTTTGCTCCACTTTAGATACTGAATCCCAGCTAAGATCCAGAAGGGCAGATGAAAAAGGCTTTACCTCTCTTTTCTTCCTAGAGCTTTGCTTTGACTAGTATTTCTCAGGCTCCTGGGAGCTATGCTTTGCTTTGGACTTCCTTATTCTTGGTGATTTCCCTCAATGACTGTCTTAGTCAGGGTTTCTATAGCTGTGAAGAGACACCATGACCACGGCAATTTTTTTTTCTTTCTTTCTTTCATTCTTTTCTTTTCTTTCTTTCTTTCTTTTTTTTTTTTTTTTTTTTTTTTTTGAGACAGGGTTTCTCTGTAACCCTAGCTGTCCTAGAACTAGCTCTGTAGACCAGATTGGCCTTGAACTCACGGAGATGACCCTGTCTCTGCTTCCTGAGTGCTGGGATTAAAGGTGTACCCACCTGCTGACCACAGCAACTCTTACAAAGGAACACATTTAATTGGGTGGCTTACAGTTGCAGAGTTAGTTCATTATTATCATGGCAGAATATGGCAGCATGTGGGCAGACATGTTTCTGGAGAAGGAGCTAAGAATTCTACATCTTGATCAGTAGGCAACAGGAAGTGAACTGTCCAATTGGGTTTGGCTTGAACATATATGAGTCCTCAAAGCCCAACCCTACAGTGCCACACTTCCTCCAACAAGGCCAAACCTACTCCAACAAAGCCACACCTCTAACAGTGACATTCCCTATGAGCTTATGGGGGGCAATTACATTCAAACTATCATAATGACTTATCTGTATTTTGTATTTACACAATATCCCACTCCCTTCATTCTGAGGTCGTGCCATGACCTTCAGTGTAATAGACAGCAGGTCTTGAGTCCCCTTTAGGTCTCATCTTGCTTGCTAGAAGAGTGAATCACATGAGACAGATGAGGAATAACCACTTCTAGCTAAGTCTGCTAGTGATCTTTCACACAGTGGCATCCTTATAACAAAGACAGAAGCACAGGACACAGCAGACTACCTAGATTAGAATACAAGTAATGGACATGGAAGAAATATTGATAAGTGACTTCATTTGTAATAATGTCTACTAAAACATTGTGTATACTTCCAATTGCTTTGAGAGAAAGCTCCAGAGGAAAATGGAGCAGTGGCAAAACCTTCCACACTGTAGAAATGCCCTGAAACCACATATCCTCTGTTTGGCTTATTAACTACAAGTACATGACTTACTGCACAGCTAGTTTCTAATTGCTACCTAGAAAACAATTATTCATTCATGGAAAGCTAAAGATGAATGCCCTAACCACCTTTCCTACAGCTTAATTTTCCTGCTGCCAATTTGGGTGACTTAGCATAAGATCCAACAGGCTTGTTTATAAGCCATGGTTGGCTGGTTTTATAATTCTGGGAATTGAATTCAGGATGTCAGCATACTAAGAACACGCTATATCCCTGTTCTACACCTTCAGCCATTGAATGGATTTTCTTTAGGAAAGATGCTAGAGAGGAGGAAGAAAACACTGAAAAAATAATCAAGATATGTATAACACTATCTTAAAGAAGGCTCTGCAATGCCCACAATTGGGGGGGAAAATACTGAGAAAACAATACAGAGAAAAAAAACTAGACAGCTAATTCAGTGTTGACCATTTCTTGAAGCTTTTTAACACTATCAAGAAATGCCTACCCATGCAAAATAAATAACCAAAATTAAAATACCCACAGCAATTAACCCCCACCCCCTTTGAGATGGGTTAGCCCTAACTGTCTGGGAACTTGCTATAAAGATCAGGTTGGCCTTGAAGTCATAGATATCCACTTGCCTTCCCAGTGAGTGCTAAAATTAAAGGCACGTGCTACCAAGCCCATGGCTATTAAATATTTGTAAGTAAACAAAATGCTCCAAATCTGTAGTGTTGAGTGTAAAAAGGTTAAAATAGTTTTCACTGAAAATTAACACCATGGGATAACCCCTACTGTAGTTAGATGGCTATCACAAACTCCTAAGATTTCCTCCCATTAAGAAAAAAGGCATGTCCAAGCAAGATGGTGGGCCAGAAACTGCCTATGTGACCTAATTCCCGGAACAGCCAACAGCCCTCACTAGCCTCAAACCAAATCTCTAGCAGATGGGTCAGTGGTGCAGCAGAATCCCTTTTTCAACATTCTAGATCACTTGGAGAGCAGTGACCAAGTGCACTTTAAGAGGACAAGTACTGTTTGAAACTGGGCAACTGTGAGAGATTAAAGGCATGTGCCACCACCTCCCGACAAGCTGTTCATTTTTCATAGTAAACTTTAGATCTGGCATTGCACCCACTCTGGTATCTCTGAAGAGTTGGGCTATACAGGTTTCTCATGTTTCCTACATTTTTTCCTTGGGGTTTGATCATCTGCTGGGATGTCCCTTTTGGTTGTATTTGAGGATCTTATTGATTAGTTTCCTCTTGAGATCTCAGTTAGCCATATCACTCAGAGACTTCCAGGACTGTGTACAAGGGTGGGAGCTGACTCCATCCTGGACTCATCTTTCCTGTGGTTTATAATGACACTGAGCCCATATGGCACAAATGTTCAGTGTCCTCCAGAGTTGTCTTCACTTGAATATTTGTGGAGGTTTGAAAGAAAATGGTGCCCCAAAGGAGTGACATCATTAGAAGTGGTGCCCTTGTTGAAATAGGAATGGCTTTTTAAGAGGAGTGTGTCACTGTGAGGGTGGGCTTTGAGATCTCTTTTGTTCAAGCTTCACTCAGTGACACTCACCTACTTCCTAGTGCCTACAAGATGTAGGACCTTCAGCTACTTCTCCAGCAGCATGTCTGCCTGCATGCCTCTGTATTCCACCATGGTGTTAATGGACGGAACCTCTGAACTATAAGGGAGCCAACCCAATTAAATGTTTTCCTTTATAAGAGTTGCTGAGGTCATGGTGTCTCTTCAAGGCAGTAGAAACCCAAACTAAGCCATCAGTGTACCTTCTTTCTGTATCAGGAACCCATGTTAACATATTGGATCCTGCAGTCTGTGAGCCAGGCAGGTTCACTCACCCTCCTGAGACTTTAGTGACCATACTCAAGGTGGCCTATGTTTTAGCTAGGGAACATCTCACTAGAACATCAGGAGTCGGGAAGCAAGCACAGCCCTGAAGGTTGTACATGAAGTTGTCTTCCTTTAGCCTTTTAAAGCATCACCACCTGCAGGTGTGTGTCCGACACTCCCTGTGGGCTTCCAGCTCTCCAGCTTTACAGCAGTGAGTAAGTGACAGATGATGCTCCAGAGGTTGAATCTGACCAGGACTGTCAGTTTCCAGGGTTACTTTCAGTTGATAAAATATGGCCCAGAACTCAGGAGAGAAATGGTGCTTTCCTCTGTGTCCTTCTGTTCCTGGACCAGGCTTCCTTGGCCTCCACAACCAACCCATAGAACTGTTTCTGACTGTAGAACCATGGCAGGTTAATTTAGCCTCTCTGCTGTTCTAGGTCACACAGGAGGCTGGTCTAGGTCACCCTCTCTAAAAACAAATCATAAACACGATTTATAGTAAATACACTTAAACAGTAGAAAATAAGATTTTACAATAACTAGGTCTTTTCTTCTCTTAGAAAAAGTTTCTATAAAGATTATACAAAATCATGAGTCAGGAATGATTAATCTATGTTTTCATAAACTAAGACTCAGCATTCAAGATGAAATTCTACACTAGAGGTGAGCATTTCTTTTTATTTTCTGAGAGTCAGGAAAGGGACTAAGACACTGTGACACACAAATCACTGGGAAGGAATTTAAGAAGCTTGCCTTGCCTTACCACTTCTTAGCTTTTGACAGTGGTTTGTACTTGCTGTATTTTACACGCCACTCAAGGACTTCTTTGCAGCGCTGACATACTCCATCATGAAGTTTTGCATTGATTTTCTAAAGCAAATAAAAATACATAAATTAAGAATCTCATTCAACAACCAATATGGAAAGTCCCATAAAAAGGTTCATGGGTGGGCAAACGTCGCAGCAGGTAAAGGTTCTCGCCACTAAGCCTGAGGACCTGAGTTCAATCCCCTGGACCTACATGGAGGAAGGAGAACCAACTCCTGCAAGTTGTCTTCTGATCTTCAAGTACCCACACATGCACACAAAAAAACTAAAAACAATTACAAATTACAAAGCTAAATGCGGTAACCTAACTTTCGTCTATGTAAGATTCCATGACATATCATGTGCTTTAAGTCCATAACTGTTTGGTTCTTTAAAATGCAATAGTTCTAACCTGTCAACATGTTAAAAGAATTTCCAAGGTGACTCTGAGAAACTCTGAGAGAAACTCATTGACACTGATATATTAGATCAATATGAATATTGGATAATTAAGACACATGGGTTTTACTGTTTGTAACTAAACCTATATAAAAGTCTAATAAGAGAAACATAAGATTGCTTCAACAATTCAAATTTTACAAATGACTCTGAATTAAACTGAAAAATCAGAATTATCAGCGTTTATTTGGGATAGCAGTAACTGAAAGTTAAGATGGGCCATAGAGAAGCAAGCAGGAAGCCAAAGGGCATTTTGTTTCTTTTTTGGGCTCCTATGTAAGGAAAATGTTTTACAAAGGTTCCTTAGAGGCCCAGCCTTAAACAAACAAAACTCCTCCAGCTCTCTTGGTTTTATGAGAATACAACATGAATGTACACATGATGTAAACATGCACATCTGGTGAAAAAAGGACTTTAGGGGAAAGAAAACATTTAAGATTTTATTCTCAAATGTGTTTGTATAAACAAGTAAGAGTTTAAATGTGCCTGAGGTCCTTGGTATTAGTTTCGGGCTCATATGCTACAGGATTTAAGTTCTGGGAATCCTCCCATTTCTTTTGATGAAAGAGGAAGGCTGGTCTATGCCCATTGTTGGAAAGGATGTTGGCCATTTTCTTTTTCTCTTTTTATTTCTCCAAAGGGGAAAAAACACATTACACAAGATGCAGATTCTTAGGACAGCTATTTAAAATAAAATAGTGTTTGGACTAGGTCAGCTGAAGTAAACAACTGGAAAGGCCCTGCTAGCTGTAAAAGCTGATAAGAGTGAAATAATCTGACAAAACTTTATTGGAAGATAATATATTTCAAGGGCATTTCCAACATCCACAAAGCATGCTTCGAATCGAATACCTACATCTCAGCTAAACTCTCACGAAGAGTATACTGTTACTTATGAATTATGTATGGGCCTATTCCTTCCTTTCTGACATAGCAATGGACAGTCCCAGGCAAAGCAAGCTCAACATGGCTCTGTGTTCACTGTCACTATAGAAAAGGAGCTCCAAGCTCACACACCAAACCACTATTCCTATGCACCCTGGAGTTTAGTTACCACATGCAGGGATGGCTAAGAAACATAGGCTTCAAATTCATAATTCATCAACTGTCTTATATTATCCGTTGCTTGAAGTATCTCACTACTTGTATTTGTGCTATTTAATAATTGTAAGAATCGTTAATGACTTTGAACCAAAGTTACCATATGAAACAAGCTTTCTAACTAGAGTAGTATTCTTAGAATGCAGGAAATTTCATTACCTGAAATTGTAGTACATTAACACATACTGCTTGCCAACCAGGAAGCGTTATCTGGTTTCTTGTTTGTCTGTCTATACAATTTCTGACCAGTTCATCTTGATTCATAAAGCCCTGTGTAATTTGGAAACTGGTTTTCTTAGGGCGGACCAAGTGCAGAACAAACAGGTCTCTGTGGGAAATTGTTCTGAGTGATCTGTGAGGCAGTATAAACAGAAACCTTGTACAGGGTTCATGTGATCAACTCTATCTATATTAAGAAATGAATGAGGATAGCAACAAAAAAACACATTTAAAATACATACATACAGAAAGAGGGCAATTCTCGAGAGGTGAGCAAAGAAAGACAGACCCTATTTCCAGGAACTGTTCTATGTTGGGCAAAGGAAATGCAATCTTATGTTACATACTCCTATTTATATCCAAACCTCCATCAGCAATTTGTTTTAGTACACCCCTCAAGGTAAAAGGTCACAGGCTAGCGTATAAATATAAATTAAAACTTAGTTTATGCTGGGTGATGGTGTTGCATACCTTTAATCCCAGCATTCGGGAGGCAGAAGCAGGTGGACCTGAGTTTGAGGCCAGGACAGCCAAAGCTACACTTAGAAACCTTGTCTTGAGAAACCAAGATAGATAGATAGATGGATGGATGGATGGATGGATGGATGGATGGATGGATGGATAGATAGATAGATAGACAGACAGACAGACAGACAGACAGGCTGGCTGGCTGCTTTCCAGATCTTTTGTTTGTTTTGCTGTTTTGAAACAAGTTTTGCTATGTAGTAGTCTTGGCTGGTCTAGAATCTGGCATATTGTCCAGGTTGGCTTTAAACTCATGGCAATCCCCCTGTCTCAATGTCCTAAATGTAGAGATCACAGGTATACCCCGGCACACATAACTTCAAGATCAGCCACAGAGAATCAGTTACAGAAAAATTAAATAGTTCTTAAAAGTCAAAATAAATTTAACACATCAAAAGATACTCCTAATGAAACATAAGAGATAATGTCTCAAAAATGTCTATGCTTACAAATCCATACCAGCATATTACAGTGCAATTAACTCAGCTATGAAGACTGTATTGCCATACAACAAATTTTCCATAATGGAATACCACAATCACAAACAGGAACTGGGTGAGAATTTAGCCTTGGAAGGTAGCAAGCACAAAGTAACTACACAACATGTATCAACATGTAAATAAGCATTTCGTTACAAAGTATCACTTAACAGAAAGAATACCATTTGGAAGAGTAAAGGAATTTAAAACAACTAGTAATTTTCCTTTAGGATTTTCTTTGCTATGAGGTAATTTTTTCAGCAGTGCTAAATCCAAGGCAACTGCTTAATTGAAAAAGAAAACTCTTAAAAGAAAATGTCTATTCCAACTGCTGCCAACAGTGATCACCATAGCTGGCCTTGGCAAACTTGCTTCAGGTAAGTAAGGAGTTTTACTGAGATAGCTTATATTACTGCTATTCTGGAAATAGGAACCTTCTGTGTTAATTATATTTAAAGTGCTGTTTGGGGGGGGGAATATTCACAGAAACAGAGGGGTGGAGGGAGAGGGTGAGTGTGTATGTTTGCTCTGGTATATGGAGTGACATCCTGAGCGCATAGGCATGGCCTCGGGCCCATGGAGGAATGGCAGGGCCTTCTCCTGGGGTGAGGATGAAGCATGAAAAGGCTTCATCCTCTGGTCCAAGTGTGGATGCTGGCACTGGAGAGGTCAGCCTTGTCTTTCTCCCCCTGCATGTTCATGGCCTACAGACTGCTCTCCTGTAGAAACTGCTCTTACAGAGTTAACTGAGTCTTGTCTCCTTGATCCAGCTGTATTTCCCGAACCCTGACTCCTTGTTCAACTCTATATACTAAACACACTGAGCTCCCAGGGTGCTGTGACTTCTCCAGCAGAGAGGCTAGACCACATAACCCCAGCTTTCTTTCTGTTTGTCCATCTGTGTCTGTCTGTTCTTCATTCCCTTGCCACCTCACTCAGGCCTAAGTCCTGGAAGCCCATGCAAGGACTCAGCACTGATAGTGCAGTCTTGGCCTTCAATTCCCAATCCTCTTGTGTCGGCCTTAACTTTCAGAGACATTCTCTTACAACTTGACTAGAGGATAAACACCTCACAAGCATTTACCCAACTATAATGTGGAACTAGGTCATTAGGTTATGACCTAAAAATCATTACTTTTTCTATCTGTTTTCTTGTGCATGTGAAGCCACTAAACTTTACCCCAGCACAAAATTATTTTAAACTGGTTTTTTTTTTTTTTTTTTACTCCAGATAGATTACCACAGGGCATAGTCTCTCACAAAATAAATATAGCGCCCCCACCAAAAAAAAAAAAAAAAAAAAAGCACCAGTTGGAGGACTCAGGATGAGATCAGGATGAGGCAGAGATACAGGGAGAAGCCAGTACCAGGAGCACAGCTGGAACAGAGCAGCTGGAGATGGGCCACAGGTGAGAGCTCCAACAATTAGCAGCTTGCTGCTGGTGACATGCCAAGTCCAGTTTCTTAGAAGCAATATGCCCAACCTTGTTACTGAAACCCAGTTATCTTTCCCCAAAAGAGCATCGTGTGATGCAGTAAGCAAAGCTTCAAAGCATCCTTCCATAGAGAGCATTTCCAAGAAATGCATTCTCTCTCAGTGTTCACTGTAGACCTGAGTTACTCTGCTCACAAGAAAAAGGTATTCTTAGATGCTGACCCCTGGTAGCCAGAGGTCTGGAAAGAAGGCCCTGGACGTCACAAGACCATCTTAAAGAAATATTATTATTACCACCTGAGCCCTTCTATCATAAAAAGTGTCAAGTCTGCACAAAGTTGAAACAATCTGGTATGGTGGCTCATGCCTGTGATCAAACACTTGGGACATTGAGGCACAAAAAGGCCATGAGTTTAAGGGCCAGCTAGACTACAAATTGAGACTGTCTCAAGAATATATGTGTATATATGCATGTAGATGAATATATATGTGTCTGTACATAGGTACATTTACACATCTAACTACAGGCATGATGCCTAAAGACAATCATGAGCTTGCTCTTTCCCTTCTCACTTGTGTATATACTTGCAGTAAGTTTCAGACACGGAAACATTTACTTTCTTACTATCCATCATATTCTAGAAACAAAGGCTCTAATACCATATGCTATTACCATATTAAAAAATCAGGAAAAAACAGCCCCCAATATTAGCGAATGTGGACAACCTAGACTGAAATTCCCTCAACTGCTCTAGCTTTTTAGACCTGCCTCCCCCACCACAGGTCAAGACTAAACATATTTTGGGAAACTGCAGAATATCCCACAATTAGGATTTGTCTGATGG